CATTTAATCTGATTATTTCGCATTTGTCTTGTATCGAGCCCATACTCTTGATTAGGTCGTAGTGTGAGGTGAGGCCATCTTTTACTCCAGTTAGAATTCCACTTGCAACTTGCCGGTATTTAGGTAGATTTTACAGGGTGTAACCTGGGAATTGGTAATACTTCAGTTTGTCATCCGAAATGTTAGCTTCCATAATTGTGAAAATGTTTACATCATAGGTTTTTAGGATTTTCTGTATTTGGATCTTTTTGTCCGGAGACATTCCTCCAGCATTCCACTGGAGGATCTGAAGACGCAGTGGTTCGCCCTGACGAGGGCGATTTTTCTTATAGCCCTTTTTATAGCTAATCATTATTAATCGAAGTCAAAAAACGAATGGCGATTGATAGACTTTTTTGCCGTAAGAAAATACGTTGTCCAGGGAGCACCACGAGGAAGTAAGTCTATCGCGCACGCCTCGAATATAAATGTAGTTTAGTTGAGAATTTAGATAAGACAAGGGAATTAACAATCTGCAAATGGCAGTATGCAAACTAATTTGTGACTGACTGAATTTGGACAGGCAACAACCTAACATCCTCACGGGCATTACTCCTAGTCAGTTAACACGTTGAATTTCAGGCCACCGGAATTGCTACTTGGATATAAGGCGAGCTGGAATGTGATTATAGGTACTCCTAAGGCATTGGGAGAATGAAGAATGGCGACCTTGTTGGATGTAGGAAAAGTATATTTGCTTGAAGTTGCATATATTGCCTTCCCTACCCGCCTATTCCCTCCATACCCTCCCTCTACAAGACGATTTAAGGGAAGGCTACCTCTACGTGCTTTGCTGGAACATCTGCAGAAAAAAGGAGGAACTAATGGAAGTAGTGAAGGATAATTTAAGGTTTTTTTTTAATTCGGTCACTCTGAGAGAAACAGGTAAGTATGCAACCGATAATTGACCAATCTTCATGCAGAAATCAAGCCTAGAATGCAAATGGTCATAAAGTTGTGACCACAACTGAAGAAATTTCCACTATCTATTTCAAATGGCTTGCTTTATGACACTTCTCAGCAGTCCTTAGGTAACTTTGGGCTTCACAGAGGGGAGGAACCTCAAGGTGAGAAAAAGTGGATAGGAGGAACAGAAGAGTGATTCAAAGATGATAAAGAGACAGAAAAACAGACACAAAGGCAGAAGAAAATGGAAGATTAGTACGGTCGAAGTGGTCAAACTGACATACAGTGGGGTAATGGCAATTTAAATTCATAAGTCAACTGCCGATTTATGGGCTTTTTGCCGTATGAGAATACGTTGCCGGGGTGCACCACGTGGAGGTAAGTCTATCACACCCCTTATATATTTCCGATATTAGGATATTGG